CTGGAATGCCGAGTTCCAGCTGGCGTGGGAGATGGAGGACAGCACGATCTCCCAGGCGGAGGTGCGCATGGAGCAGCTGCGCCGCGTCGAGCGGGAGTTTGTGGCGGAGGCCACGTACACTGTGAAGCAAATCGTGATGCTGGACGACGATGGCCCGCGAGAGCTGCCCAAGTTTCTGCAGTGCTACCGCGTAGACAACATCTTCTTCCGCGTCCTCCCGGACAGTCGCTCGGGGCGCAACTACGTGGCGTCGCTCCGCGGTGTGCTGCAGAGCCGCACCAGCCTCCTGGCGGTGCCCCTCTCATGTATGTTCTTCTTCCGCGGCATGCCGGTGCTGGCGCAGGCGCTCGTCCCGATGCCGCGGGAGCCGACGCGGCTGTACGGCGCGGACTCCACCAACAACCAGGAGGTGGAGGCGGAGATTTTGCACATGGCGGAGGCCCTCAACATCCCTTTGCCAAATTCTATTGTATGTGAGGTGTATGAGGGGCTGGATGCCCGCTGGTACTGCACACTGACGAATATCACCACGATAGACGTTGCTGAGGGCTTTTCAGCCAGTCCCCCGCTAAAACGTCAGGAAATGCTCGTCTTTTGCCCCCTTGTGACGCCCGGGCCGCATGACGTCTTCGCCGTCATGCGGGCCGCGCCCGTGCTCGACGCGCTGGCCCAGTTGGAGGGCAAAGCACAGGCGGATGCGCAGAGTCACCTGTGTGACGTGTTGCACTTCTACGGCATCAATTTTTGCTTTCTGAAGGAGGTGCTTGAGACGTTTGCGTCAGAGCGGGGCACCGACACGGAGGCGGTGCGGGTGCTGGAGAGATGCGTCGCTATAGAGATGCTGGCGCGGGCCGTTAAGCAGGAGTTCTACCTGGAGGTGCAGGGGAAGCGGGTGGCCCACGATAGCCGGACGCTGCAGCGCTGTATTGCGAGCACTATCTCGCGTGCCCTAGACGCAGAAAACTTCTGGGAGCAGTTCCTGCCCGTACTCGCACGGAAGTACAACATTAGCGCCACCGATGCGTCCAGCCTCGAACTTTTTGCCAGCGTGGCTGTCTCCAGGCAGCACGACATCGTTGCGCGTATTTCGCTCCTTATTGGCGCGCGATTCTGCGCGGAAGCAAGCTCGACGGCGGAGCAGGTGAAGTGGCTACCGAAGCTGCAGTCCAGCGTTGTGCCCCTGGTCTCCGACCCCAGCACTGTGCAGTCTCTTGCCTTTCAATACGACGTCACGAAGACGTCGATGACGCATTTGTACGCCTTTTGTTTGCCGCTGCAGTCGAAGGTGGCGTACTGGGAGGGGAAGCTGGATGTCGCGCTGAGCTTCGCACTTGAGGTTGCCGCCGCGGAGAAGGCCCGCCACGGTGACCTGGGCCTGCCCTACCTCTACGCCCTGCGCGACGTCTGCGAAATACTACTGGGCGGGGACGATGTGAAGTTTATTTCCGACGGCCGCAAGTACATGGAGTCCTTGTTGGCCGGCTTTGATGCAGCGGCGGGGCCTCTCACGCGGATGCGGCGCCACATTGAGTGCGCCTGCTGGCTGCTAGCCGCCTCTGACGTCCTAGACCTGAAAGCCGAGGCGCTGCAGCACTTTAGGACGGCCGCGCAGTTGGCGCCCGCCGGGCTGCGCGGCGACCTCGGCGCCTGGCTCTACACCCGCCCGTTCCTGGGGATGCTCCGCTGCGCACAGATGATGCGGCCGAAACCGTCCATGGACCTGGCCGGGATGGCGGGTGACGCGAGGCAGCTGGCGCGCGTGGTGACCCCCGCCGACTACTTTGTGGAGTACCTCTGGGAGCTAGGCATGGAGCTGTTCTGCGAAGAGAAGTACGAGCTGGCGGCAAAGATGCTTCACGCCGCCTTCAAGATGCGGCGAAAGGTGCCTCGCTCGGCGCTGGACGCTGGGGCCCTAATGCAGGACCTCGTCAACGTGTACCGTGCGTGGAACCCGGCAAAGTACGGGACGTACTGCGACTCCCTCCTGAAGGCGATGTCGGAGGATCGCAGCAGAGCGTTTTCCTGGCCCAGTGACTCATCGGCGGGCAACTCGCATTGGCCATAGCATCTTGTATAAATATATATATGTGTATTTATACATTTATATAACTATGCACTTACTTTCCTCGCCCTCCATTTATGCTTGTGCCCCTGTTTGTTTGTTTGTTTGTTTGTATCCTCCTTCTGTTATTTGGCTGTTGCCCCCCGGACGGCGTTTCCGCGGCTGCTGAACTCCACTTGAGTAATCCCCCCCCCCGCTGGTGGGGCGTTGTTTATTTTGTCTGCCGCCTCGCCGTGCATTGAGCAACTGCCGCTGGCTGCTCTCTCCCTCTCTCTCTTTGTGTGTGGCGGGGGGGGGGGGGGATGCGCGTGGGCGTCCCTCGGCGGCCCAATGACTCTTGCGCCGGCCGGCCCACCCCCTGCACGGACTCCGCCAGCGAGCACACAGCAAGAGCGGAAGCCGCGGCCGGAGAGGCGGAACTCTCCGCAAAGCAGGGGCCTGAATAGAACAAAAGGGCAAAAAGAAACCGGAAGTGTGTTTGGGTGGGTCAAAGGAGGGAATAAGACGTGGGTATATCTATATATATATATATATGTATGTATGCTTAAAAAGAAACGGATGGCCGCCTTTGCTGAGCGATGGCGCCAAATATGTGCAAAGTTTTTATTCTTTTCAGCATCTTCCTTCCTCCTCTTTCCTCCTCCTTTTTTTTTTTCTCCCCTCCCGCCCCGCCGCAACCCGGCTTATTTCCTTTTTGCTCGGGTTCCGCGGGGTGGGCGCGCCCGGCGGCGGCCGCCGAGCACCGGCCGGACCGCGTCGCCCGCACATGTTGGCACGTTGCTTCTTTTCATTGCCACCGCTTTGCCCCCTCCGCGCACGTCTCTCCAGAAACCTCGAGACCAGAAAAAGCAAACAAAAAGAGAAAAGAAAAAAAAGAGGACAGGAACCGTCTCGTGAAGAAAGTGTAAGGTGTGTAGGTTGGGTAGGTTGGGGTGTGTGTGTGTGTGTGCGTGAGAGAAATAGAGCGAGAGAGAGAGAGTGCGTGCACACGCTGCCTGAGATGCGGCGTTCGCAGACCACAGACACCCAGCAGCGAGACAGGCGGCAAAATGTCGTCTTTGCCTCCGAGCCCAACGTCGGCGGCTCCGTCTCGGGGCCCTCGCGCTCGTCCGTGTCGCCCATGACAAGCACGGCCTCGCAGCGGCTCTCGTACATGCGGCGTATATCCATGTTAGAGGCGTCGCGGCACCGTCTCTCGATTCGGAAGTCGGCAGCGTTCCCCATGCAGCAGACGGCACCTAAGCCGTTTCTCTCCTCCTGCGCCGATATCACGCGGCACGGCAGGGACTGGAATGCCGAGTTCCAGCTGGCGTGGGAGATGGAGGACAGCACGATCTCCCAGGCGGAGGTGCGCATGGAGCAGCTGCGCCGCGTCGAGCGGGAGTTTGTGGCGGAGGCCACGTACACTGTGAAGCAAATCGTGATGCTGGACGACGATGGCCCGCGAGAGCTGCCCAAGTTTCTGCAGTGCTACCGCGTAGACAACATCTTCTTCCGCGTCCTCCCGGACAGTCGCTCGGGGCGCAACTACGTGGCGTCGCTCCGCGGTGTGCTGCAGAGCCGCACCAGCCTCCTGGCGGTGCCCCTCTCATGTATGTTCTTCTTCCGCGGCATGCCGGTGCTGGCGCAGGCGCTCGTCCCGATGCCGCGGGAGCCGACGCGGCTGTACGGCGCGGACTCCACCAACAACCAGGAGGTGGAGGCGGAGATTTTGC